TATTATTATTATTATTATTGTTATTATTATTATTATTATTATTATTATGTTTGTGGCGTGTTATTTGATATAATTTATTATTGTGATATATATTATTTTCATTTATTATATATATTCATTATAATAAAAATACCTCGGGCACAAGCGAAGCCATCTGCGAGATGCGGCTCCCGCTCATGGATCTCTTCATGGCCCCGCCTACAATCTCGTTCTCTCCATTAGCCCCGCCCCCATATCCCCCGTCAGAAGTATTTAAGAGATTTTGATTGGATTTAGAACGGATCTTGGAAAGTTGATCCAGAGAGGGGGACGTCTTTAGGAGGAGTGCCTCGGGATTAGTGACTGTGCTTCTGAAATATTTATTATTATATTTATTGTCATTATATATTGTTTATTATTGTTGTTGTATATTGACGAGAAGACTGACTTTTCGAGTGGACTTGTAGAGCTGTCGCCAAGTGACGAGGAGCTTTGCTCACTTTGTTCCATGTCCTGAATTAAGGTTGTATTCGTATATTTATTATTACGTATTATTGTTATTAATATGATAATAATGACGTTGTGAAGTGGGTGATTGAGTGCTGTAAAGCTGGGGAGTTTGTCACTTTGACCGGGTGTAAATTTGGCAGAATGGGATGATGCAGTGGAGGGGGGGTGCGAGTGATTTTTTTGTTTTAATTAGGATGGAATGAGATTTTTTGGACTTTTTGCTATTATTTCTGTACTATTATTATGTATGTGGTGTAATAATTGTTGTTTTTATGAGTTTTGCTGGAATGAGATTGGAAGAAGTGAAAATTTGGAAAAAAAGTGAGAATTTTGGAAAATAATATAAACAATGACCGTGTTCGTTTTGCCAGTTGGCGGCTCTTTATTCATGGGGACACGTTGTTTGATGAGTCGCAGCACTTTTTTGACGATGTTCGTCTCTTTTTCTGTGAAATTAATTTTGTCGGGAATTTGATATTTGGGTTTTGTGGGAGAGACGGGCGTGAGCACTTCATCTTGGGCTGGGGTATCGTTAGAGTTGACGTCTTGCGAGGGTGTCTTGCTGCTGGTGGATTTGAGTTTTTTCTTGAGTTTGTCGCGTAGACGTAGGAAGAGACGAACGCGTTCGACCTGGAATTAATTTCAGGTTTGGGATGCTTCGGGGGACTTGATTATTTTAGTGAGTTGTTTTGGTGGGATTGTAAACATGCTAAATAAGAAAGGGTAGACCTGTTGCAAACGCGTCAATTTTTCGAGTTCCCATTGATGTTCGAAGATGAGAGAGTCCCCTCGAGGTCTCCATAGGCCCAGATTCTCCTCACCGCGAACGTATGAAGAGGAAGTGTCCAGGACACGTCTCTGACGGCGCACTGCCCCTTCAATTCGGGCATTTTTAGTATATTTCGTTATTATTTTTATTGTTTATCATTTATTATCACTGTCTTATCAGTCATTATTGTCACTAATAAGCAGTCATTATCTCACAAATGAACCGGGAAATTGAAGTCATGAAAAGTAAGGTGCTTAGGTAATTACTTCAATTAATTAGGGAGCAGATAAGCAGGTAATTAATTGAGTAATTCAGTTAATTAAAAGCAAGATAGAATGAAAAGCAGAGGAAAGCCGTATTGAGAGCGAAGCTGGATCATGAAATAAAATTAGTTTTGGGTTGAGTATGGAAGTTTGGCTTGATATCTGGGCTTTATATTTGGTTTGTTATCATTGGTGATAAGGCAGTGATAAGAGAAGCAGAGCCGAGCGTAAGAGTGATAAGAGAAGATCATATAAAGCGTAAAGCGAAAGCCGAAGCCATAGCAGGGCGCGAAGTTGTCGAGTTGTTGGTGATAAGCGGTTGATAAGAGTCGAGTGGCAGCAGCATTATCAGCTTATCAGTGACGTCACTGATAAGAGGTGGTGGAATGAGTGAATTTAACGAAGTATCGGTTTCACACCTGGACTACCTGTATCGAAAGACTGCTTCATGGTGAGTTGATAGACGCCCGGGATGCGATTCATCTCGGGTGATTTGGAGATGCCGCCGATCAGGGTGCGACAGAACCTTAATAGAGCTCGTTGTAGGGCTTGGCTGAGACTGGGTGTTGATGAGATCGCTTGTGGTAGTGAAGGTGAAGGTGGTAGGAGAAGGCCTAACATCACCATCAGACCAGCCCCACAACTACAATCGCACTTCGTCAGCGCTTTTGACCTTTGACCTTTTGATCGTTTTGTTCTTAGTGCGTCGTTAAAGGATACTTGTGACGTGAAAATTGAAGTAGTTTTTGATACTGATGTTAGTGAATGGAATGCTTAGGGTGGATTTGTCCGCCGTGGGCGAATATTTATCGCCATATTTTTAGACTGATTTCAGTTCGTTTTGATTTAGTGTTTATTGTTAGGGCGGTGGGTTATGCACACAGATGGGCTGAGTAATTTTTGACGAGTGCTCCTCGCAAATGTGCCTAGCTCTCTATCAGTCTCTCTATGTCTGCCTGTCTGCTGCTAGTGTGAGTCTGAATTTTTGAAAAGTTATTCATTCATTAATTGATATTTGCTAGCGGGCGGTTGATTGTGTTACTAAGTGGTATGGTGTGTTATTGTTTTAGAAATGACGTGTAAAATAATGTAGATGTATATTAATAATGTGTATGTGCAATAATAATAATAACTGACCTACTGGCCGCTGAGATCTTTGAGTCTCTGGCATATATCATGACACATAGATCCTTAGTGATAACAGCCGGTTGCGTGCAATTCTCCAGCTCCATATAAGCCGATAGGGTCATGTAGACTTGTTCACCGTAATTGGAAACTTTATTCAGCAACGATGAATTATGTAGCGAGCTATCCCAAGCGGCCTCGAATTGGAAAAATAACCTGGAATTAATTTCAGGTTCACCTTCGAGGGATTCGAAAGCAGCAGTGGAAAAATTTATTACGTGTGATAATATATAATATAATTTTTGCTCGAGTTGTGCGTGGATGACAAGTGATAAAGTAATTGTTATTACCTGTCATCCATGGAGAATTGGAGAAAAGTGCCCGGGAAGAGTCCCAATGAAAGTACGTCAATATCGTCGCCATTCCACTCGGGAGTGGAGCGGATTCGACCGATGACGAGTTCCTGACAGTCACGCCATTTGACATCTTCACCCTTCTCGTGACAGATGGTGATCTTGATACGACGTTGAATACCCTGGTGCAGTAGAAACACGCCGTGCGTGGGCAGACCTGAATTTAATTTAGTTTTTTAGGGTTTCGCATGGGTGGGTGCTTGGTAATGTGGTAATGTCTCGAGAAGCTGAACCTTGAGCGTGGTCGACGATCGCCGGAACATATTCGCCTGTATTTGCCAATTCACAGATTTCGAACCAGACGAGTAGATCGTATTTCGAATGCACTTGGTTCAGGCTGGAATAGTATTTGTTTATTATTTATTATTGTGTTTATTATATGTAATATTTGTTATTAATATTATTGAAATGGAGTTGAAAAACGGGCGGAAAGCGTGTAAAATTAAGCATGACAACGGCAGTTGTGAATTGATTAGCGCGATGAAAAGTGAAAAAGGATAGTAGAACAGGAAATATTATGAGAAAACGAGAGAGATATATATAGAAATGTTTTGGGAAATGTTTAATTGGATACAATGGCGATAATAGCAAATGATATTAGTGGCAGCGTAATTATAATGATGATAGATAGTGTGAACTGATGATAATAGTAAATTATAACAGTAAATAATAAAAAGCGGCGAGGTGAATGAATTACTTTTTATGTGTACAATTATAGGAATCGTACTTATTTGGTAATATTGTCGCTTTTTTGCTCTTGACCGGTGTTGAGATGACCAACGATGGCTGTTGAAAGGTCAGTTTGGTGGACATACGACGACTTAATTCAATTTTTATTTCTTATTATACATTATTAATATACATATTATTGAATATTTTTATTGTAGATGTTATTTATTAGGGGGGGGGCGTACTTTGACCGGGTATTGAAAATTTTTTATCTCGCTTAGTGAGAAGTGAATCAGCTCACTGTATGACTGTCTGGCTTCTGTACTATTTCGTTTTTGTATGATCGTCTGGTGGGTAATCACCTGGCTCCTACAGTATTTCATTTTTGTATGATTGTCTGGTGGGGAACCGTCCGGTTCTCGCACTATTTCGTTTTTCTATGATCGTCTGGTGAGGGACCGTCCGGCTCCTGCGCTGTTTCGTTTTTGTGTGATTGTCTGGCGAGAAATCGCCTGGTTCGTGCACTATTTCGTTTTTGTATAATCGCCTCGTGAGGTCCCGTTCGGCTCCTACACTATTTCATTTTCATATGATTGTCTGGCGGGAAGTCGTCTGGCTCCTGCACTATTTCGCTTTTCTATGATTGTCTGGCGAGGAAACATTATGTGAGATTTTGTTTGCGTATTATTATGGTGATTGTTGCTGTCACTGTATGTGTTATTATTATTGTATATATTATTTAATAATATTTATTATAATATATATTATTTATTATTAAAATGTAATAATTAAAATAACCTCAAAGCGCTATTCTGACGTTCGTAAGCGAATTGTTGCTGTGGAACGGGTCTGTAGTGACCAAATATTTCGAATATTAACGGAAAGTGATTCACATAATGCAGAAATGTGGGTGACATAGAGACTTTTATATTCTGAAACTTCATATTTATTTTTATTTATTAATATGTATATTATTAATGTACATAAATGGCGTTATGTATATTATTATCTATAAGTTTTTATTTATTATTTTTATTATTATTACTGTAAAAGTGAAGTGAGCAGACCTGAATGTGGTTGAAAGTTAGCGGGCATTTAGGTGAATTCTTCATTGGCTCAGTTGAAAAAGCCTCGTCGTGACGGTGCAGGAAGCTTTAATTATTTATTATTATGTATATTTTTGTGTTATTTATTATATTAATTATATTAAATATTAAATACTTGAATTGACAGAAGATATCGGCGTATTGTTCGGAAATATCGGTGGCTTCGATAACGGTGATTCGGAAACAGAACTCGGTACTTTTCATATGGTCCGGGTATTGGGTGGTGAAGTCGGCATCGATGCTCTCTGAAGTGGTAATATTTGGATTATAATAATTATTAATTATTAATGTAGTAACCTTTTTGTTGCTGTGCAAGTTGGTCATTACCGTTACCGATTCCCTCGACGAAACGTTCGGTGGTGACATCCAAATTGCCTTCGCTTTGACGAACTCTCTTCAGGAAATCTTCTTTGCGGAAGTGACATTTCACTGTTTGCTGCACGTTCGGGTTTTGTGCTGCGACGGGCGGGTTTTGGGCTGCGTTATTCGAGTTGATCTCTTCTGAAAGTGCATATTCGAACTGTATTTTGGGGTTTTGTGCTGCGACGGGCGGGTTTTGGGCTGCGTGTGAAATTTATTCATACCGAGTGGACGGTTTGTTTTTACTATGGTTTGTTGTGGTTTTACATATTTATTATTATTGGTGTTTTTATATGCGCGATATTCATTGTTTGGTACTTTGCCTTTGCGCTCCTTCATTTGCGTCTCATTCTGTCTCAAAAATGTGCAAAATTAAGCTCAATTGAAGAAAAAAACTGACCGCTGGGAACGGGTTCAATATTGACGCGGAGGTGACCTTTGACCTCGCCTTTTTCGTTGACGATTACAACTTTATGAACGAGTGGGACATTATGCACCAGGTTGTTCAGGTAGACAAATGCTCTGAACCATGCAATTATTAGTGGTTTTCGCAAAAAAAGTCGAAAGAAACACTCAAATTGGAAGAAATATGCAAAAATTTTGGCGAGTCGTTACCACCCTATTGGATTTGTTAGGTTTTGGCGAAATGTCCCCACCATATGAAATTTTATGTTGAGTCGTCTTCATATTCAGTGCGGCGTTGTCTTATCGTCATTTTGTTTTATTGTTTCGATCCAGAGCGGTCGGGTCTTGGTCTTGTGTGCTCGTTTTTGATGCCATTATTTATTATTATTGTTGTGATTAGGTGGTATCGTTTGATATTGATTATTATTGTGGTGGTTATTCGGCAATAATTATATGTATTATTTGATATTTGGTATTAGTTAGGTGTGGTATTATTTAGTATTGGTTATTATTACGATTAATATAAATGACCTTCCAATCATTCGAAACCACGGGAAACGGTCGTAGAAGGGGTCAGTGCCCATGAGGGCGTCCATCATCGGGTCTTCGGGGCTGCCCGGGCTTAGTTCACCATCCGTCTGATACATCTCTCGCATGAGCTCGAGGCGTGCTCTGAAATGTTATGAAATCGAGGTTTGAGACAGAATCTGATAGAAATTGTTGAGATTTTTAGGATAAATTGTGAACTTTTTTGGATTATATTTGTTTATTTGATAGTTTTCGTGGTGATTATTGGACGTTTGGGCAGGGTGATTTGTGTATGGGGGGGGGGTGTTTTTTGCACGTTTTTGGATTTGTGGAGTTCAAGGGGGGAGGAGGGATAATGTGAATGATGAGAGGTGCGTAGAAAGAGAGAAATTGAAGGTTAGATAGAGAGTAGTGGTAGTGGGTAGTGATGGTGGTGGTGGGTGATAGTGTTGTGATCGTGCGGAGTGGGAAGTCGAGAGTGCACTAGATTTGAAGAGGTTCGGACAGATACAGAAAGTTTGGTAGAAAGAGAGAGAACAGGTTGGGTGAGTGGGGGGTGGGGACGGACTGCCAAAAAAATTTCCACCCTCTTGAGCCCGTCTTAAATTTGTGCGGAAACCCCCGGACTTTTGGGCCCCGTCCTAGTAGCAGTCCTCTACTGTATTGTATATGATAGTGAGACGAGAGCAGAATTTGTAGTTTGCAGTGTGAAATGAAGCCGCACCTGTCCGGAACGAGTCTCGATGGGTTGTAGTGCATGAGGTTGGACCAGAAATGCTGTGAGGAGATGTCTGTAGTTTGTAGTGTGGTGTAGAAGTGCGTGGAGGGACTGTCCGGAGTGCAGACCTCACTCAAATCTGCGTTATAGCAGCGACGCATGTCCTCCAATCTTATTCTAAAAGTTATATACAACAATAATGTATATTAATAATGTAGATATGGTGGTGTATATTTGTTACAATAATAGTAATTATTGATTTGATGTATCTAGTGAACTCTCGACGGGGTGTTTAGTGGTGCTGTGAGGTGAGTGACGTAAGGCCAATTGTAGCTTGTAGTGTGGTCGGGTGATTGTATGAAGCACAGGAGAGCAATAATAATGGGCATAATATGTTTTTGTTTGTCCTTTTGTGCATAACGTGACTGGCGATAGATTAGCATGCGTCTGCTATACTAGAAGTTACATTGGAGGGCGTGGTGAGGAGCGTGCGTGCAGAGCGGTTTTTGGCGCAATGATTCCACCTCTGGTTGTCCCGCGCGCGCGTGCGCGTACGCTGAGGCGGTATTTGAAAATGGTGTGTATAATAATGGTAATAAATAATAATAGAGTACTCGAAATGAGAAGAATACTTTTTGAAAGTAATAGGAAATGTAAGCTTTTATAGCAGCCACATGCTAAAAGAGTTGTAGGAGTGAACGGGTGAAGCTTAGGGGCAGATAGTCCGCTCGGAGCCTGAAATGTGGTACCAAAACCTGGAATTCGGTGAGAACCTCTTATGGTACCACATTTATTTTGAGTTGAAATGGTGACGGCAAATGTGTGTATGATAATTATGTGTGTATAAATATATCGACTGACTTAAGTTTGTCGATGCTCCAGTAGTGAGTAGCACCGTTCTTGAGGTCCTGCACTTGAACTGCGACAACAGTTTTGGGGTATGGCCTCAGGCTGAGGTCTTCTCCTGGGGGCAGAAGGTCCGGCGGGAGCGGACTGTACATGGTATCCGTTAATAGAACGAACTGGAATTGAACCTGAAATTGGGGAATTTTTTAATGGTTTTGGTGGTAGTGGTGGTTTTGACCTGAAATTAGTTCTGGGTTGGTGGAAAAAATGGAGGTGAAGGATTGAGTTTGGTGTGTTTGAGGTTTTATGGGTAGTTGTGGTCGAGTGGGAGAGTATGTGAGGAAGAGAGTAGAAGAGAGGCAGAGAGTGGGTGGCTTGGCGAAATGTGGCGGAAGTTTAAAGAGTTTTGGCAGATTGGGTGTACTCGTCGGAAATGAATGTTAATGAATAATATGGACAATAATAATGGCCTTTTTGCGTAGTTCCACGGAGATGGCGTTGGCCTCTTTCAAGAAAATGGCCGTTCCCCAGAGGTCATCCCGCACCGAGGTGAACTGGTGATAGCGCCATTTGGTTGCGGTACGTCGTGCGATACGCTCCTCCTTTTCGGTCCATTTACATTCGGGTTCCGAACGGGATCCTGTGTTTTATTTATTATTATTATGTATAATTATTATTAGTAGTAATTATAGTATGTATATAATTACCGAAGCTTAGGAGACTATTGGTCAGGAAACGTTCACCGTCCCAGGTTGAGCAGGTTGACGAGATCATACTTTGGGCTAGATCAACTTGACGTTGTAGTGTTTCGATGCGCATTTCGTATTCCTATTTATTATTGTTATTTATTGTTGTTTATTATGTAATATACAATAATAATAGATAGAATACTTTGGTTTGTCGCATCATTTTGAGTTCGAGTTCCTCTTTTTCGCGTCTGTACTGAGATTCCATCTCAAGCATCTTCTTTTCCATCTCGGCCTTAAGATCGATTCCCTGTTTTTCGAGGAGTTCTTGCTGGGCATACTTCCAGTCGAGGGGTTCACCTGATTGATAATAATAAATAATATGTACGATAATGATATATATAATAGTGCTGGTGGATGGGTACTAGCGTACCGGTGATTGTGGATAGGTTGTGTCTGGATTGTCGTGCCTCTTGCGGGTCGTTGTAGCGGAAGACGTGATACTTGCCGAGGATGACTCGTGAGCCGGTGTGTAGAATTGTGACGGTCTGCACGGGTTTACCGTTGACGAAACATTGGGCATCCTGACTTGGGATTAGGGACACGACCCCGTCATCGTTTAGGAATTGACAGTGCTCGTCGAGGATTAGTTGACCCGATAGAAGGATATCTGGACGACGTGAGGCCTCCGGACGACCGACACTGAAATAGTGTGGGAATTAGAGAGGACACAGAGATAGAAATGTTTTGGTTAGGATGTGTGGAGGTTTTACGTGAGAGTGGGGGAGTGTTTGTAGGGAAATGAGAGGGTTTAGCGATAGAATTTGTAAGAATTTACCGAGTTATACCCTCTTTAAGATAGTAGAGAAGGCATTCGGACATCAGCGGGTCTTCGTTGAGGTTGACGAGATGTGGTAACTGAAAATTGTCATTCAATTTTAGGAATGTTTTTTGGTACCGTTTTATGGATTTGGATTTCTTGAGTTAATTTCAGGTTTTTTGAAATTTAGCATCGAATTTTACACGTAGTAATATATGATTGTCATTAGTGTGGGATTTGGAGGGGGCAGGGGGGAGAGAATCAGAGAGTGAGAGGTTTGGCAAAGTGCGACTGCTAGGGGTTTTTGGCACATTGGGTGTGCCCATTCGGTACTAAGTGCGGTTGTGTGGTATCGTAATTTTTTATTGTGATTGTTTTTGTTTGTAACTTTTGTAAGTTACTGTATTTCTGTATGTTACTGTAATTGTGGATGACGTCATAGGTCAAAAGTTAAGAGGCGACTTTTTTAGGCGAGAACACCCCAAGGGTACGGCCATCGTCACTGGTCGCGAGACCCATTTCCCTGAGTTCGTCCTCGCGTTGCTTTCGGATTTCTTCAGTTTTACGCAGCTTCTCCTCCCAAGTTTCGTTCAATTCGGCGATCAGCTTTTCAGAAGCTGAAAGTTGTAAGTTTTATGAAAACAATTTTAAAATTGTGAAAAATTTTTTGGAATATTTAAATATTAAAAAAATATATATCTCTTGAGCTGTTGAAAAGTATATAAGGTTGTGATGAATATTCATAAATTTGGTTTGCGCAGTGTGCATAATACCTTTCAATTGTTCTATAGTATCGTGGTCGCGTGCCGAGTATAGGTATTTTTTAGTGTTGCTATTCGCTGCGAGATCCTTATTGCCACCCACTGCAGCGCCATACCCTTTATTCGCAGCCGTATTACCCGAACTATCCACCGATAGATCCTCCTCATCGATGTTGATTCCCTTCACCTCCAGTAAACTTCGTAGTTTATTCACTTCTTCCTTCAGTTCTCTTATTAATTTCGCGTTAGGATCCTCATTAACGACAGCCTGACAGACGATCTGTTTTGCGCGATCCGCGTACCTAAAATTATTATTGTTTATTATTTATTATTATTGTTGGTATTTATTACTAATATTATTATTGTTATAGGATTACGGTATTACCTGAGCGTGCTGAGAGTCTCGTCGAAGTTGATATCGGCCGGTGAGAGCGCTGCAATCATGGCGGTTTTTGAATTACCGCCTAAATTCTCGCGAAGAAGCCAGGTGAGCACAGAGTCACGATACGGAATCACCGATTTACCTTTGCCTCGTCGGCGACCGGTCTTGAACGGAATTTTGTGGATTACGGTAGGTAGGTAACAATTTTCAATACATATGTAATAACGATAATAATACGTTACACGTGTAGAAAATCGTTTGTAAATATTTACAATAAACACGAACATTAAATTGAAACGGACGGACTATAGTGAGTGACACTTGACGGGCACTTACTGTTGGATTACGGTAGGGTTACTGTACGGTACAGTGACGATACCGTAATTGTGGGTGCTAGAACTTGGGTTACTGTAGCTTTTTGATTGGACTACGGCAGACACACAAGTTATGAGACGTGTACATAAATAAATTTACATGGAGTGAGAAAAGTTTAGAGACATACCGGATCGAGTATGGCCTTTATTCGATAGAATGGAGTAGATTAGATTTATATTTATTATTGTACATTAATGTTGTATGTTATTATTTATTATTGTATAATATTATTTATTAAGGTTAATAAAGTATTTGGAACTACCAACCTCATCGGCCAGTTTCGAGATGACGAGTCCCAGCGTGGTCAAACTCTTATTTATATTGGCGCCCTCCTTGAGGCGTTGGCCCTCGGCACCTGTGGACGTGGCACGCTCACTACCAGCCAAATCGACCAGCGAGATCTTACTGACCTGGAATAGGGGTACGGCAGATTACGATATTTTTTTATAGATTAAAGTATTGCGTGTAATTGTCTTGAAAATGGGACAACATTGAGGTTACGGTACTTTTCGTTGTAGGACAACTGCCGAGTGAGAGTGTTTGGTTTATTAGTGTAAATATTATGCTTAAAATACCTTTTCGGTGTCTAAATTCGTGTCAGAGTCGTGTCTGTTTTGGGTTAAAACAATTGTAAACACCGCATGAGAGCGGCTCGATGTCGAGTTCATATTTGTGGCTGCAACCGTCCTGAAATTTGATTTTTCATTATATATTGTCATAATATTTATTATTATATATTATTACCGTATTATGTATATTGTTAATGTACAATGTGAATAGTAACTGGCCTAGCTTTATTGCCTTCATCCATTAGGTCGCAAATATCCTGGTAGGAACAAACTGCCAATTTTGTCAAATCGTCCACATACGGTCCGAGAAGGGGATGCTCGCGCACGCGTAGGTTACCACCGCTGGACGGGTTTAGCAGGTCGCGGACACGCTCGCAGTAGATTTCCATATAGGATACCTGGGATTATTTATAATTATTTATGGTTTATTGTTTGTGTTATTTATTATTATATTACCTCGACAGAATACTTGAGATTAGTGTCTTGATTGGAGTGGATTCGTTTAAAAAGGTGGTCGCATAGTCTCGGAATGATGCCCATTTCGTTTTGGTCATTCGGTTTACCCATCATTGTGTAGCTTTTGCCACTGCCCGTTTGACCGTACGCGAATATACACACGTTGTACCTGTATGTATTGTTATTGTGGGTGTGGTGTGTTTAGAGACGAGTGGGGTGTGGTAGTGGGGATGATTTGGGGTGGTATGAAGCTGCAGCAGTTGGTAGTGGGTTGATTTTGGATCTTGAGTGGAATACGGAATACGGTAGACTTTTGGAGGGAATTTTATTGTTGTGGTAATATTGTTTGTGGGGGTGTATTTTTATATAAAAATTATATGTGCAATAGTAATATATAATAAGAATAAATGGAATGCTTATAAATGATAATAATAATATTATTGACCCCTCAAAGGAGTGCTCGAGCATCTCGACGCCCAAGTCGTCGTATACTTGCTTCTGACTGGCGAAGTGACTGTCGTCGCGATTGAACGACCAATACGAATAGTCGAAATTGAAACTGTGCGTGCGCTCATTGCCTCCACCACTGCCGATTATGGCTGCAACAGTTGAGGTTCTTAGCTGCAGCAGCACATTCTTTCGGATTTACAGCTGCGGGACATTTTCGTGGACTTTTTTTGAATTTCTCACCGAATTTGCATTATTTTACATTGAAATTTGCATTGTTTACATTGTTTCATTTTTCATTGTTTCAAATTTGCTTTGTTTTACATTGAAAATGTGTCCATTTGAACGCTCTATTGAAAACTTGTTTGGACTTATTGTCGATAGATAGCATTTTGTATATGCAAAATGTATATTGCTGTGTATATGCAACTTATTGGCTTTTGTGCTGCAACAATGGATTGGGTATATGGCTGCGGCACCAGCGGCAAAAAATTAATTAAATTTTTGGATGGATATATTTAAGGCGAGACGAGAGCGTGTGTGTCGTGTGTGCTAGAGAAGGAGAGTAGGAAAGACGTAGAGAGAGGCTGATTATGTATGATTAGTGGTGGTTTTATGCGCTGGTTTGTGCGGCATCTTTTGGGGACGGTGGGCGGGGCTAGGTCGAGACTAGCCCCGCCCCATCCCCTGAAAAGAGACTAGCCCAGGCGAGAACAAGGCCCGGGCAGGCATTTTTCGAATTGATGAGTTTTTTGGTGGAGAGAGTATGGAAAGAGTGGAGAGCGAATTTCGGGAGAAGATGCAGAGAAAGAGCGGAAATAGGCCTGATNATTTATTGCTTAGAGAATTTTCGACGAAAAAAAATTAATTATATTTTATTCGGAGCTACTTTATCGTCGTTGTGCTGTGATAAGCAAACAAACAGAACTCAATTAAGCCAAAACCGAGGAGAGACTATAGCGCAGGGAGAGAGCGCAGACGGCGAGAGGGTACCAGGAAAAATGACCTGGCTCTTGTGAGAAGACTGTGGGAACTGAAGAGAGTTCAGAGAGAGATGTTGCAATGATAGCAAGGTAATTGGGACTTGGATCTGAGGCATGCATCTGACGGAAGTGGGAAATAGTGTGTGCTTTTGAGAGAATTAGACGGCTAGAGTTTGTTGCATTTTGTTTTTTTGTGGTCGATTGATTGGTGGTACTCACAATGCGAGTAAGTGCGAGTTAGTTTGAGTGAAGGGAAGAGGGCTGCATGAGGAGGACAATTTTGAATTATTGCAGCGCAAAAATTTTCATTTTTTAATGAATTTAGACGGATTTTTTTTTGGATTTTTACAGGCCGTTTTCAGGATTTCCAATAATTTTACAACGAAATTACATGACATCATGGAGTAGAAATTATGACGTTATCGAGAGAAACTGACTGGAGAAGTGACGTCATAGGAGGGAAAAGAAGAAAATTTGCAACGAACGAACTCGTGGTATTTCCGGTCATGGAGATGATCGGTTTGGCATGATTCGAGATTTCTCGCGTGTTAAAGGGCCGTACACGGACGGCCACTTTAACGGACGACATCCTGGCGCGAACGGCTTTTGGGCTGCGTCAACGATGATTTTGGGCTGTCGAATTTTTCAGGTTTGAATTTGAGTTCCCGCAATTTTTTCGATTGCGTTTGACTAGATTCAATGGAATAAAATAGTGTTTTATTGATTCAATTTTTTGGGATCGGTTGAATTTTCTGAAATTTTTTCATTATTTATTAATAATTACTGCGTGTTTTCGGTAATAATAATAATAAATATACAATAATATAAAATATTTCATAATAAAAATAATAATAGCAATGATAACAATAATAATAAGAGATGATCATATTATATCAATTATTTACAAGTGCGAATATTTCAATACGACTGGGTATATGACAGCTTTAAAGTGTTATAGGTGCAATTATCATATTAATGAATAGAATTATTTATAATAAATATTGATAGTAATAACATTAATAATATTGAATAATTTAATGAATTGGAATTAGACACGATTAAGGGGTGGATATTAT